GATGAAATTTTCAGTTGGCCAGCAACTACAGAGCTGATTCTCTACTTCTTGCTGTGGACCACATGACTGTCTCAATACATAAGAACATTTTATGTGCCAACTTGCAATGAAGACCACATAGTTAATAGTTTGCAACCTCCTTTCCCCCAGAAGATCTTCAGAGTTGAGTAATAAAATTCCTCACATGATTTCAATGAGAGGGTTCACTTGTCAGAGGCTGTTTCAAGACAGTATCATATGTCAGGGAGGTGCTGTTCAGATGAAGCTTTCCAACCTTGTGTTTTCAAGGCTTTACTAAAAATGAAAAAACTTCAGGCTATAAAGTTTGAAACTGGAGGAAAGAAAAATAATCTCTAGATGTTATGTTCAAAATGTGGAAATTAGTTAATTAATGAGGGGAGGAAGAAAAACTCTGATTAAAACCCTGACAAACCCTTGAGATCACAGACTGATTACTAGTTCTACCGCAGACTCCATGTAGGAACCTGGGCAAGTTAATCCCTCTACACCTTGGTTTGCCACCTGCAAAATGAAGAATAACACTTTCTTTTCATATGCTGTTTTTCTTGCTTGTATTGTTCTCCAAATTAAAAGCATTTGTCAAAACGCTTATCTTTAGCATTAACACTAGAAATTGTATTCATAGCTAACATACAATCTGCTTGCGTGACTGTTCAAATATGAACTCTCAGTACACTTTGCTACCCAGACATCCTAATTTTATACGTGTCAGAAGGGAGCTTCAGTCAATACAGGAATATTAGATCGCTAAAATACAGTTTATTACTAATCTTATGTATAAAACCAGCTTTAGGGATATGATTTAGACCCCCCAAAATTCAAATTCTCCTCATTATGTCCTAAAAATCCCACTATAATCATGACTTTGGTCTTACTTCACTGATAACCCCCAAGATAATATTATCAGCATAGGTATAATTGAAGCCCAATCCCACAAAAGACGTGTATGTGGAATCCAATGCCCACTCCATTCAAATCAGTATAAAGCGAAATCGACTTCAGTAACTTTTGAAGTGTCAAAGCTGCATAAAGTTATCCATAGCAGAAATGAAGGCATGGGGTTTTTGCAGCAGCATTCTTAAGCCGATAGCATCCCTTCAAGTGTTTGATTTCAAATCCTAAACTTTGCAGAAGATAAAACACATTTGACACGGATCCCAACACTGTAATGTGTAATTCTGTAGTGTCCCTAAAAGCTCTGCACAGAAATCACTGTAAAACACAAGTTGCTTTCTTTAGATTAAAATGTGCTGTCATTTCATGCAAATTGGTTTAGTTGCTAACATATACAACCACACATCTTCTGAGATCCCTTTATGAAAGGGACAGTACAGTGTTCTTCCTTTCTTATGTTTCAGTTTCACTAATTCTTCCAATTTCCCACGCAAACATCATATCCTAAAGACCCAAATTTCACCAGTGCGCCACTGACATACAAGAAAAAAAGAGCAGTCCCAAAAGTTAATGATAGAACAATTCTTGAAATTCATGCTTATTAAAAATTAATTTCATTAAAAATAAAATTAGTTTTAAAAGTGAATGTCAGAACCCCACTGTTTTCCCAGCTCTAGATACCAATGAAAAAACATACCAAACATCTCCATGAACTTATGGATTATCACTATAAAGTAAACACTTCATAATAATTTAATTTTCAATTTTCACTGAACAGCCACAAACTTTTAATATCCTCTTGAAAGAGATCACTAAGACCTGCACAGAAACTGCCTTAGAAGTAAGCTTTCTGCAGCTGACACTGGTTACTAATTCTGTGGAATTATCAGAATCATAATGCTAAGGAGATGCACATTTTCTAGAAAGGTCAACAAATCGAAAGGAATTGCTCAAGACAACTCAGTAAAGTAGCTAGAGAGATAAGCAGGCCTCAACCACACAGGATTTTCCTCAAGATTTCCTTACCACTCTTTAAAAATCCTGCAGTTTCACCCATGGTAGCATTCCTATAACACAGCTGGCAGTCTGCATACCACAATGTCGTCTAGACCTGCTCTGAACAGTTGGATGACACAGGAGTAAAAATGCTGATGCCTGTTCTGGTGCTTGCACTGGTGCTAAAGGAACGATAGGAGGAAGAACAGACATCGCTGAGTAAAACACAAGTTCCTTGTTCCTAGTCTCATGCCCAGGCTCGTCAGACAATTCTGTCAACCATATAGAAAAAGTTGTGGCTGTCGTGGGGCTGAAGAAGAATCTTTGCATAAGGGAAAAGAGCATTCCCAAACCCCACATTTTAGATGCAGTATCAAACCCTGCTCTTTCACAGAGCCTGGTGCTCTCAGAACACACAGATAACAAATGCATCCCTGCACAGATAACATATTCCATCCCTTTCTCACTTCTCCCCTACTTCCCTCCCTCACCCACGTCTCGGAGATGTTTTCTCAGCAATTTGGAAGAGAAATGGCAAAAAGTGAGATGCAAAACACAGAAATAAATTAAGTTTGTTCTCCGCTGTTGACGGATTTGGTCCTAGCATGATGGGAGAAAAAAAAGATGTTAAGAGTGATAAATCCATATATACCTACTCCAAACTACACCCGACATCCCAAGGGACATGGTATAATGGTAAATAAATATAGATGCAGTTCCTACTAATGAGGCAGGGTACAGCAAGGCCAAAGAAAATGCAATCATCTCGGGGAAAAAAAACTGCACAGGACTCCTCCTCTCCCATCCATGGAGGAAATCAAACGCCAGCTGCACCATCCCAGGAAGGAAGCAGAGTCTGTACCTGATGAGCCCTGCAGAAATGAGCTAGTCATATCACGGGACGCAAGCAGGCACACTTCAGGGTTTTGCCAGCCCACAAATCGTCTGCAGAGCACAATTCCTCTCTCCGATACGATATATTTTACATGGTATCATTCATGCAAATTGTAGGTTTTTTCCCACCAGTTTCTTTTTTCTCCATCCCCATTAGTTTGAAGCAGGGGCACGTAGCTAGTGTCTATCAGATCTGCTCCGACAGTGCTCTCAAACGCGTGCCCTGGCTATCCGTTTAACGCTTTCCTCCCTACAAAGTTTAAATCTTTCCAGCTTTTGTTCATATACATTTTGTACTTAAAAGCCACTTAATCTGTACTCCCAATGTTACTTGAGGAGAACAAATTGAGATACACCCGACTCCACAGACAAACAGCAAACACGCTTACGATCTTCATTTCCTCTTCCTTCTCCCCCCCCCCCCCCCAAAAAAAGCATTTTTTTGTCCCTAACACCAAGGGACTGAGAAAAACAGCACACATGACCAAGGCTTTTTCAGACCTATCGCCAAGGAAAAAATGCTTTCCGAAGAAGTGCTCTGCAAACATACCAACAGACACTCGTAGAACTGAAAAAAACCATCAGACAAAACTGAGGTTGAAGAACTCGGCTCCGTCTGTCTCGCATGTGTATTCTGCGCCTAAAAACACTCGCCTCTTGTTTCGTTTTAACCCCGAACCACAGCAAAACAGTTCAGCGGCATTCCCTCCCACTTACTCCAACCGGTCCTGGGGTCGTACACACTGCTCTTCCGAAAAAAGACCCCAGGCACGGCTAGAAAAGCATCTGCCCCCGCCATCTCTTCCCAAGAAGTACAAAAATAAACAAGCCTGTGACACCCCACCCAAGCTCTCCTCGCACGTTTTGGGAATGACTTCCCTCCGGGTCCTCCTCCTCCTCCCCCAGCCGCTCCCATGTTAAAACTCTCCAGCAACAAGACACCCTTCGGATTCAACGCCTTTGCCCTCCCCGAAAACCCCCCTCTCCAAGCCCGGGGAGCTGCAACAGATCTCGCCCTCGTCTTCCCTCACCCTCCCAGCCCCGGGAGCCAGCGGGGTTTGGGGCACCCGTGGCCCCCGTTCCCCCCCTCCACACACCCCCCCATAGGCACAAAGCACCGGGGCTCCCCTAGAAAGCAGCCCCCACAAACCCACGGCCACCCCTCAGCCCCCTTCCCCGGTGTCCTGGGGACAAACCGCGCCGGGGCTCGCATCAACCCAGCCCCAAACTCCACGGCGAAGAAAACCGAAACACCACCCACCACAAAAAAAAAAAAAAAAAAAGAACCCACCAAGGCTGAGGGGACTCCGCCACCACGAGTCTGTGTGTGTCCCCCCACCCCACTCACACACCCCACGCACCCGGGAGAGGGGTGGGGAAAAAAAAAAAAAATCAATCAATAAACGGCAAGAACAACGACGGAGGGCTCTTCTTTAAAACCCAGAGGCTGCCCTGCCCTCCCGCAGACCCCCGCAGCAGCCTCCCGGGGACACCTTCCTCCTCCTCCTCTTCCTCCTCCGCTCCGGGGGCGCCGAGAATAACGCGGAGCCACCCAGAACCGCGGCTCAAACTCTGCCGGCGAGCGGCCGCCCGGGCTGAGGAAGGGGCTGAGGGGGCTGCCCCTGCCCAAATCCCCCCCCCCCAGCCCCGGCTTTCCCCCTCACGCACATCCCGCGCTGTGAGGAAACCCGCTCTCCGGCGCGCCTCAACTCCCCCACAGGCAGCCGCGGTGCCGGCTGAGGGGGGGG